TTTCAAGGAAATAATAATATGCCAGTTAGCATACGTTTTCATCCAAAACGACTTACAGTCATGTGTGCATACATTTTTACGTATGGGTGGTCCCGTGGATCGAACCCACTACCCTGGCGTTACAAGCGCCATGCTCTACCAATTGAGCTACAGAGGACCACAAATACAGGCGTCAACCACATTACTACAAGACAAAACAGCTCAATCAAGCCTGATGGTCTTGGAAGTATAAAAGCAAAGCTTGCTTAAAAAAAAAAAATATGTTTAAGCATGAAAAGGCAGCGTAATGGGAAAATGTCTTACTGTGGTGTGAGAATAATCTAATATTTTACCATGTATGCGGTAAAAATCACATTATTGTGGAAACATCTCCTCTAAGAGTTTGAGAAGGTTTGAATCATAAGCAACCTGCCTAGACATAGTTTGAAGTACAATACCAACATATCTGCTGTAGTAGTTCAAAGCTGTGTGCTGGAAAACCTTGGTAGAGCATGGGTGGAGGAGGCATGGTGCACTTCCTTTCTTTTTCGGCTTCAGACCAATGCCTATTCTCACTTAAAATATAGTTTTTTTTTGGTTTTTAATGTATATAAAGCCCTGGGACTGACATAACACATGGATCAAGCTGGTACAGTTTTCATTTAATTTAGTCTACAGTAGTGTACGTACAGCTACTTACAGTATACTACGGTTTATGTCATGCAATGTAAAGTCATTCAAACTAATGTTAGATAATGAAACAGCCTTAGCCAGAGTATACCCTCTGAATAGAACTTCTACATTAACAGTCTGATTGCTGTACATACAGTTGAAGTCGGAAGTTTACATACACTTAGGATGGGGTCATTAAAACTCGTTTTTCAACCACTCCACACATTTCTTGTTAACAAACTATAGTTTTGGCAAGTCGTTTAGGACATCTACTTTGTGCATGACACAAGTGATTTTTCCAACAATTGTTTACAGACAGATTATTTCACTTATAATTCACTGTATCACAATTCCAGTGGGTCAGAAGTTTACATACACTAAGTTGACTGTGCCTTTAAACAGCTTGGAAAATTCCAGAAAATGATGTCATTGCTTTAGAAGCTTCTGATAGGCTAATTGACATCATTTGAGTCAATTGGAGGTGTACCTGTGGATGTATTTCAAGGCCTACCTTCAAACTCGGTGCCTCTTTGCTTGATATCATGGGAAAATCAAAAGAAATCAGCCAAGACCTCAGAAAGAAAATTGTAGACCTCCACAAGTCTGGTTCATCCTTGGGAGCAATTTCCAAACGCCTGAAGGTACCACGTTCATCTGTACAACCAATAGTACACAAGTATAAACACCATGGGACCACGCAGCCGTCATACCGCTCAGGAAGGCGACGCATTCTGTATCCTAGAGATTAACGTACTTTGGTGTGAAAAGGAGAAATCAATCCCAGAACAACAGCAAAGGACCTTGTGAAGATGCTGAAGGAAACAGGTACAAAAGTATCTATATCCACAGTAAAACGAGTCCTATATCGACATAACCTGAAAGGCCGCTCAGCAAGGAAGAAGCCACTTCTCCAAAACCGCCATAAAAAAGCCAGACTACGGTTTGCAACTGCACATAGCAAAAAATATCGTAGTTTTTGGACAAATGTCCTCTGGTCTGATGAAACAAAACTAGAACTGTTTGGCCATTATGACCATCGTTATGTTTGGAGGAAAAGCCGAAGAACACCATCCCAACTGTGAAGCACGGGGGTGGCAGCATCATGCTGTGAGGGTGCTTTGCTGCAGTAGGGACTGGTGCACTTCACAAAATAGATGGCATCATGAGGAAGGAAACTTATGTGGATATATTGAAGCAACATCTCAAGACATCAGTCAGGAAGTTAAAGCTTGGTCGCAAATGGGTCTTCCAAATGGACAATGACCCCAAGCATACTTCCAAAGTTGTGGCAAAATGGCTTAAGGACAACAAAGTCAACATATTGGAGTGGCCATCACAAAGCCCTGACCTCAATCCTATAGAAAATGTGTGGGCAGAACTGAAAAAGCGTGTGCGAGCAAGGAGGCCTACAAACCTGACTCAGTTACACCAGCTCTGTCAGGAGGAATGGGCCAAAATTCACCCAATTTATTGTGGGAAGCTTGTGGAAGGCTACTCGAAACATTTGACCCAAGTTAAACAATTTAAAGGCAATGCTATCAAATACTAATTGAGTGTATGTAAACTTCTGACCCACTCGGAATGTGATGAAAGAAATAAAAGCTGAAATAAATCATTATTCTGACATTTTACATTCTTAAAATAAAGTGGTTATCCTAACTGAACTAAAACAGGGAATTTTTACTGGGATTAAATGTCAGGAAGTGTGAAAAACAGAGTTTAAATGTATTTGGCTAAGGTGTATGTAAACTTCCGACATCAACTGTAACTTCCTGTGATGCAAAATGAAAGCTTAAAGTGTCTCTTGACAGGTTGTCTAAGGAGAACACTGTGATTTGATGAAGTGTCTCTTGACAGGTTGTCTAAGGAGAACGCTGTGATTTGATAAAGTGTCTGTTGGCAGGTTGTCTAAGGAGAACACTGTGATTTGATAAAGTGTCTGTTGGCAGGTTGTCTAAGGAGAACACTGTGATTTGATAAATAGGGAAAAGAGGACAGACTCTTCATGACATTGCTGTTGCATATCAAATACACAAGCCAATAAAATGCTGAGTGTGTGTGTGTTTCAAAAACCAATAAATGACTGCCCAGAACAAACAGAGCTGGCAGGAGTTTGGCTGGCTATCTCTTAGCTTAGCTGTGTTTGTTTGTGTGTGTGTGTGTGTGTGTGTGTGTGTGTGTGTGTGTGTGTGTGTTCGTGCGTGCATGCTGTTCATTTCCAAAAAGGAACGGTGACTGCAATTCAAGTAATTACTGAAAATGTGGCGCCACTGACAGCCTAAGGACATTCGGGTTCATATTTGGACAAGTTAGATGTTACTTGATATACGTGTCAGCCATTAGCTCAAATATCAGTTTGTTGTGAAAGAGGAAACGTTATACTGTTCCTGCACACTAATAATGTTCATTTACAGTGTAATAACATCTTAAACCGTTTATCTTTATCGTTAGTCACGGCCCCCAACTGAAATGATTTAGGGGAGAAAGAAATGACGGAAAGGTCTCGACACCTTATCTATCCTTGGCAGGAATGTGCTCTCGTGCAGAATTAAAAAACACAAGGTGTGGTATTTCCATGGACGCCAAATACCTCTCCAAAAATACTTGACATTTGATAGGTAACTTGGGCAGGTTATTTGAGAGAAATACCCTATGCTGAGCCCCAATGACAAAAAAACTACATTTGCACTCATGTCTATAATGATTCATTGATTCTGAAGCGGTCAATGATTCTCTAAGGATTTATACAAATGTCATCTGTGGAGATGTGTGCTGTGGAGGTGTAAGCCTGCCTCTAATGTCTAGTCTCCCGAGTGTCTAGTCTCCCGAGTGGCGCAGTGGTCTAAGGCGCTGCATCGCAGTGCTCGCTGTGCCACTAGAGATCCTGGTTCGAATCCAGGCTCTGTCATAGCCGGCCGCGACCGGTAGACCCATGGGGCGGCGCACAATTGGTCCAGGGTAGGGGAGGGAATGGCTGGCAGGGATGTAGCTCAGTTGGTAGAGCATGGTGTTTGCAACGCCAGGGTTGTGGGTTTGATTCCCAAGGGGGGCCAGTATGAAAAATAAACTAACTGTAAGTCGCTCTGGATAAGAGCGTCTGCTAAATGACTAAAATGTAATGTGTGTGTTTTCTATTAAACTCCTATTTCTAAGTGCATATCTCCAGCTCCAACCCAAAGTTTCAGGAAGAAGAATCAAAAACATTGTGGCCTTGAGTGTCTGTCTGAAACACATTCCAGTCACTGCTGTGATTCTGAGGCTTTTCAGCCCTGTAGATGGTCTTAAATATCTCATACAAGGACAAACACAGCACACACAACTCTTTAATTTCTACACCTACACTACCTAACATTGATGTGGTTGATTAATGGGAATTCTCAACTAGATAAGATTAATCGAAGTGAGAAAACTATGAGATATCTGTGACATTTAATTAGTTTGTAGCCACACGGCTAGTTTGTAAAGTTTCCATCTAACAATTAGGTGTCTCAACTGAAAAGGTTTTTATCAAACATATTCAAAGACTAATTGCATATGTGATTGTATTCTTTTGGGGGTAATTTATTTGTCCTGCTAATTAAAATAAAACATTGAGTGGATTTTTAACAGGTGGCAGACAGTAGCATTAGCATGGTGTGCTGGGTGAAACCATAACTGCCATCTACACCTCAGTCTGGCATTGACTGTATGCTGTTTACTGCTCATTATAGGCAGCACTCACCCACGCATGAACATACATTACATTTACATTTACGTCATTTAGCAGACGCTCTTATCCAGAGCGACTTACAAATAGGTGCATTCACCTTATAGCCAGTGGGATAACCACTTTACAATTATTATTTTTTTTTTTTTCTTTCTTATTTTTTTATTTTTTGGGGGGTAGAGTTAACTTTTGTTTTTGACTGAAATGGGCCATCATTTTTTAAAATCCACTATTCATGAATAATCTGAGTAATCTGAATGGAATTTGCTCCATCCCTCAAGAGGAATACAAAAAGGATATACCAATAATCATACCCTATAGACTGGCTTTGAGGAACAATGTGGAAAATCTTCAACTGGTGGTTCATGTAGAGTATGAAAAATGTATGCACTCACTAACTGTAAGTCGCTCTGGATAAGAGCATCTGCTAAATTACTAAAATGTAAACTGTAAACGTAGAGCATGCTACTCCATGCCACAGAGGCTTGGTTGAAATCAAACATGGAGCAATACTCCCCCCTAGTGGCTCAACATAACAATACTGGTTGAGGTGGAATAGTGGACAGGAGGCGGGGAGGAAATATTTGCTCGATTGTCAACAAAACCGGAAGGAATTTTAAATAAAGCAATGGATACCAAATCATGAATCCTTTAGAACTGCAACTTTATTTGTAGAACAACGTACTCAATGTGACAATTACATTTGACCTGTGAAAAGACAGACACACCAGAAACGAGACATGAACATATGTTTAATGTACAATTAATTAATCCCCAAAATTCCCAACAATAAAATCAAGTCTCTGAAATGCAGAATCAAACCCCATAATGCATAAGGCTACTTGTTTGGGATGGTTTGACATGTCTAGCACTTAAACCACAGGGATGAACATCACAATGAAACATTTTCAAATAACCTAGCTCGTTAATCGGCCAGAAACCTGCTATATTATGAAGTGTGTAAATCAAGGTGTTGGTCTTTATTTGGTTCCAACCATGTGCAGAGATGTTGAATGAAGTAACTCAATACTAATAACTGTATAGAGTAAGGCCAATGAGGCGAGGTTACGAATCTGGGACGGACACACAGAGTCGTTATCACAAAATGGAGGACAATCATGTAACAATAACATCTAAAGCCATCGGCAACCTTTCTATTCTATGCTTATAGACATGTTTCAAAACGGGTCTCATTAGTTTACTTTCCCATAGTACTTTTTACCACACATTCTACACCATTATTGTTTGTGTACACACCAGAGACCTCTGCAGAGTGGTCATCATAAAGCCCCTTAGCTCATCCATTAACAGCCGTGGGAAGGAAGGAACCAGATAGTTGGGATACTTAGGGTGTCACAATATCTTATTTCCCCTGAATCATGCATTCTTTCCCTACCTCCCATATAGCTAAAAGCATTGGACTGGTGGAGGGCATGTGCTAGAGAGAGTTTCCACCAACTTATACTAGTCATTTCCTTTCAAACCAATGAAGAGAACAAAATGCAGTTATAGGGAGGAAGGCGATGTGATTGGGACAAAACTATAGTCTACACGTTCCAATGGGGTTATGGTAAATGCAACGAGACTGTAGCAATCGCATGACATCTCCCATATCCAGTGAATGGAGACGACTAGGGCTTAGAGTTTCTCTGGAGTAACATGACCTGACAAGCAAAACCTCTGGACCCTAGTTATAGGCTTTAGGTCCAGAGCTTTTGGTTGGGAAAAACTCCTGGCCCACGGGGTGAGACAATAACAGAAAATGACATAATTATACACGTGGTTAAGTTCTAACCAAGCCACTGACAAGTGACGAGAGCGTGAAGCTACGATGGACTGAAGATGTTACTCATTATTGTGATGATTGTAGAATAACCATTATGATCAACTACATTATTTCCAACATTCTTTTCAGTAGATTTCTTGGAAATTAATCGACATCCTTCTCTAAATCTCCAAGGAAAATGCTGTTGGACGTTATAAAGATCCGTAGAACAGTCTTTTAAATCAGTTTCTGAAAGGGTGTTCAGTATACACCTCTGATGGGGAGCACTGGACTGGAGGACACAGCACTGGACTGGAGGACACAGCACTGGACGACACAGCACTGGACTGAAGGACATTGTTGCATTATTTCTCCTCTCTGCTGCTGGCTGCTGTGTACATCTTTCCTTCCCATGAGGCAGTGGGGTGTTCCAGAGGCGCAGCAGTCCAGCAGAGTCAAACTCCCATCAACTCCACCACATTATATTTTATTAATTATCATATCAATGACCACAATAAAATCCCTTTCAGACAGTAGAAAATAGAAAACAACCTTTTTAAAACCTAGAAAACAAAAACAAAGTCTGCCCTCTTGGTTTAGTGAGAGCATAGCTGGCAGAGATCGCTGAGGTTAGATGGCAGGGAGGAGGGCATCACTTGGAAAGGCGGGTAAAGAGTCGGTCGGCAGCAGGATTTGTGATGGGTCTAGCTGGGTCGGTCCTCTGAATGTGATTGGCTGGGGTTGACGGGACCCTCCTGCCGATTGGGGCTGGGTGTGTATGGAGGCGGGGCCTCGCTTATGATGCTGGCAGAGTCCTCGCCCTCAAATAGAGGGGGAGGGAGAAGGGGGAGAGAGGCGTGGCGAGATGCGTCGAAGTCGTCGCTCTGGGCAACCTCACTGTACGGAGGAGGCTTCAGGTCATCAGCTGTGGGGTCAGAGGTCAGAGGTCAGCAAGCAGAAATACAGGAAGTGAAGTGAAAATCTTTGAGTGCAGTCAACAGGGAAAGCAACTAAATAATGTTGCCTTGGTAGGCTGCACAGTACAGTGCCTTCAGAAAGTATTCAAACCCCTTGACTTTTTCTACATTTTGTTGTGTTATAGCCTGAATTTAATAGATTAAATTGAGATATATTTGTGTCACCGATCTACAGTTGAAGTCGGAAGTTTACATACATTTAGGTTGGAGTCATAAAAACTAGTTTTTCAACCACTCCACAGATTTCTTGTTAACAAACTATAGTTTTGGCAAGTCGGTTAGGACATAATTTTTCCAACAATTGTTTACAGACAGATTATATCACTTATAATTCACTGTATCACAATTCCAGTTGGTCAGAAGTTTACATACACTAAGTTGACTGTGCCTTTAAACAGCTTGGAAAATTCCAAAAAATGATGTAATTGCTTTAGAAGCTTCTGATAGGCTAATTGACATCATTTGAGTCAATTGGAGGTGTACCTGTGGATGTGTTTCAAACTCAGTGTCTCTTTGCTTGATATCATGGGAAAATCTAAAGAAAAGTCTGGTTCATCCTTGGGAGAAATTTCCAAACGCCTGAAGGTACCACGTCCATCTGTACAAACAATAGTACGCAAGTATACACACCATGGGACCACGCAGCCGTCATACCGCTCAGGAAGGAGACGCATTCTGTCTCCTAGAGATGAATGTACTTTGGTGGGAAAAGTGCAAATCAATCCCAGAACAACAGCAAAGGACCTTGTGAAGATGCTGGACGAAACAGGTACAAAACTATCTATATCCACAGTAAAACGAGTCCTATACGACATAACCTGAAAGAACACTCAGCAAGGAAGAAGCCACTGCTCCAAAACCACCATAAAAAAGCCAGACTACGGTTTGCAACTGCACATGGGGACAAAGATCATACTTTTTGGAGAAATGTCCTCTGGTCTGTATGTTTTGAGGAAAAAGGGGAAGGCTTGCAAGCCGAAGAACACCATCCCAACCGTGAAGAACGGGGTGGCAGCATAATGCTGTGGGGGTGCTTTGCTGCAGGATGGACTGGTGCACTTCACAAAATAGATGGCATCATGAGGAAGTAAAATTATGTGGATATATTGAAGCAACATCTCAAGACATCAGTCTGGAAGTTAAAGCTTTGTCGCGAATGGGTCTTCCACATGGACAATGACCCCAAGCATACTTCCAAAGTTGTGGCAAAATGGCTTAAGGACAACAAAGTCAAGGTAATGGAGTGGCCATCACAAAGCCCTGACCTCAGTCCTATAGAAAATGTGTGGGCAGAACTGAAAAAGCGTGTGCGAGCAAGGAGGCCTACAAACCTGACTCAGTTACACCAGCTCTGTCAGGAGGAATGGGCCAAAATTCACCCAACTTACTGTGGGAAGCTTGTGGAAGGCTACCCGACACGTTTGACCCAAGTTAAACAATTTAAAGGCAATGCTACCAAATACTAATTGAGTGTATGTAAACTTCTGACCCACTGGGAATGTGATTAAATAAATAAAAGCTGAAATAAATCACTCTAATATTATTCTGACATTTCACATTCTTAAAATAAAGTGGTGATCCTAACTGACCTAAGACAGGGAATTTGTACTAGGATTAAATGTCAGGAAGTGTGAAACTGAGTTTAAATGTATTTGGCTAAGGTGTATGTAAACCTCCGACTTCAACTGTACCTACACACAATACCCCATAATGTCAAAGTGTAATTATGTTTTCCGAAATGTTTACATATTAGTCAATACATATTCAAACCCTTTGTTATGGCAAGCCTAAATAAATTCAGGAGTGAAAAGTTGCTTAACAAGTCACATAAGTGGCATGGACTCACTGTGTGCAATAATAGTGTTTAACATGATTTTTTGAATGACTACCTCATCTCTGTACCCCACATATACAATTATCTGTAAGATCACTCAGACAAGCAGGGAATTTCAAACACAGATTAAACTACAAAGACAAGGGATGTTTTCCAATGCCTCGCAAAGAAGGGCACCTATTAGTAGATGGATATAAAAACAAAGAAATCCCTTTGAGCATGAAGTTATTAATTACAATGTGGATGGTGTAGCAATACACCAAGTCACTACAAAGATACAGGTGTCCTTCCTACGTCAGTTGCCGGAGAGGAAGGAAACCGCTCAGGGAATTTACCATGAGGACAATGGTGACTTTAAAACAGTTACAGAGTTGAATGGCTGTGATAGGAGATAACTGAGGATGGATCAACATTGTAGTTACTCCAAAATACTAACATAATTGACAGAGTGAAAAGGAAGCCTGTACAGAACACAAATATTCCAAACCAGGCAAGTAGTACAAACATTTTTTTTCCCGACCAATCGATTGGTTGAAATGTTAAAACGTGTATTTTTTCCCCACATAGACACATCCTATGTGTTTGAATCAAAATCAACTATATGCACTGAGATTGTCTGATGCTTTAAGCAAACTGTTTGATGAAATAATTAAAAAAGACACAAATGACTAGAGGGAGTCTGACCGCAATTGATTTGATTGTGCCGGGCCGGGCTCAGAATTAAAAACAAAAATACAGCGAGTGAATGTGTGACTAGCACCAGTTGTCTCCCTCTCCTCCCTGCTGCATTGACTACCACAGAACATCAGTGTGTACAGTGCTGTCCGTGTTGCTGAAGCTAATAATTAACATTAACATAATTACAGCCATTTTCTTACTGAAAAGCTGATACCGAAATCCCTCATTTGCTAATTAATTTCTAAAAACATTCCCTATCCCCTTGCTCTCTTTACATGAAACATGTCTGCTTTGCATGCACGTGCCCAATGGGGCCTGACCTATAGCATATCACAATCACATCAATAAATTGGTTTAAACGAACTCTGAACACCGTAACACGTGACAGCAAAATGGACACAGAGGACGTGACAAATAAAACTCGAAACGGGGGAATGTTTACTGGTTGCGCAGGAGGTAAAGGGGAATGTTTACTGGTTGCTCAGGAGGTAAAGGGGAATGTTTACTGGTTGCACAGGAGGTAAAGGGGAATGTTTACTGGTTGCGCAGGAGGTAAAGGGGAATGTTTACTGGTTGCGCAGGAGGTAAAGGGGAATGTTTACTGGTTGCGCAGGAGGTAAAGGGGAAGTCAGATGTGTGGAATTCATTTGACTAGCTGTGGAAAATACTGGAGATTAAGAAAAATAAGGTATGGTGCAAACAGATTACAATTAGATTACAATATCATTGTTTGGAACAATGTAAACACTAAATAAATAAGTGCACCAGAGTCTGTTGTACATATAACTTTTTTATTTTTTTAATGGTAAAGCCAAATACTAAAAACAGTCGCATTCATTCGTTAACGCAATTTCCGAAATGGAACGGGTTAGGCCTATTTATTGTTTTACGCTAATTGTTCAATGGTCGCTTTATTATTTTATTTTAAAACTAAAACGCTTGATTGCATTTCACATCTCCAAATGGTTGATAGCCTATATAAGTATTGAAATATAGGCATAAGTAAGTTACGGTATTAAGACTAAACAGGATGCGCTCTTAGGCCTACAGCTCGATGGTGTTTATACAATGATCATAATAATAGTAATAACAACAATAAGGAAATCAAGGAAAAAGGAGGGTTATTATTAATAAAATGTCTGACAATTTAAAACAGTGTAAACAGCACAACATAAATGATAAATAATACCAGATAGTGTAACGAGAAAAAAAAGTTTTAAACCCACAGTCCGTCCTGGTCCCTTTCTTTATAAACACATTGTCAAATGTACCTGTCTTATTCAACCTTCCTCCTGCCCATTGCTTTAGCTAGTGCTTCCTCCTGCCCATTGCTTTAGCTAGTGCTTCCTCCTGCCACTGGCTTGTAGGCCGGCGTTCTAGTTCTCAGGAACGAAGTACAGATCTAGGATCAGCTTCCCCTCCCCCAAGCCTAAAGGGGGAAATTTGATTGCACCAGCCCATACATCGATCACCAATAAACACTCTGAAAACAACAAGGAGACAGACACCAAAAGCAGCACATCAATGAACATAAAGAAACGTCTTCATACATTCATTGATGATGTGCTGCTTTCAGTGTCTGTGTGTCCTTGTGTTTTTATAGTGTATTCATTGGTGATGGACGTATGGGCTGGTGCAATCAAATTTCGCCAATGTGAGTGGAGGCAGCGGCTCTGTGATCATGTGTGAGTGGAGGTGGCGGCTTTGTGATCATGTGTGAGTGGAGGAGGCGGCTCTGTGATCATGTGTGAGTGGAGGAGGCGGCTCTGTGATCATGTGTGAGTGGAGGAGGCGGCTCTGTGATCATGTGTGAGTGGAGGAGGCAGCTCTGTGATCATGTGTGAGTGGAGGAGGCGGCTCTGTGATCATGTGTGAGTGGAGGAGGCGGCTCTGTGATCATGTGTGAGTGGAGGAGGCGGCTCTGTGATCATGTGTGAGTGGAGGAGGCGGCTCTGTGATCATGTGTGAGTGGAGGAGGCGGCTCTGTGATCATGTGTGATCATGAAGAGATCTGCGGGGGTGAGGCTGTCTTTGATACAGCAGACACACACAGTCACTGAGGGTAAGGTGTTGGCAGGTGATCTAAGCACTAAAGATCTAAGTCACAGTGAAGCCAAGCAGGGAAGTCCTCGTCCATTTTAAATAGGGCTAGCTACTACAGTACCATTTTGTGACTTCCTTTTTGTTCCTATAGTGTAGTGTCTCAATAAAATGTGGTCAGGATCCACTAGTGGAATCACATGGGACTGGGACAGGTAGCATCAGTTTAGTTGTGAAAACATTTTAAACTGACACAGACCATACTGACCTAAATAATGGTGTCATCACTAAAGAGCCCTTCTGAGAAGAGCAACCAATGAGTCATATTTTTGTACCCAGCTCGTGTTAAGTCGATGTGCGTAATCACTCTTTTCAACAGCGGTAGAATATGCCCCCTTTGGCAGCAGTGTGGTTGTGACGGGTTAAAACAAGCCTGTTGCCAGTGGTACCACAGAGCCAGCCAAGCAGGGCTATTATCCTGGGAGATGTGGTACCACAGAGCCAGCCAAGCAGGGCTATTATCCTGGGAGATGTGGTACCACAGAGCCAGCCAAGCAGGGCTATTATCCTGGGAGATGTGGTACCACAGAGCCAGCCAAGCAGGGCTATTATCCTGGGAGATGTGGTACCACAGAGCCAGCCAAGCAGGGCTATTATCCTGGGAGATGTGGTACCACAGAGCCAGCCAAGCAGGGCTATTATCCTGGGAGATGTGGTACCACAGAGCCAGCCAAGCAGGGCTATTATCCTGGGAGATGTGGTACCACAGAGCCAGCCCAGCAGGGCTATTATCCTGGGAGATGTGGTACCACAGAGCCAGCCAAGCAGGGCTATTACAGTGGTTTGTGAAAGTATTCATCCCCCTTGGCATTTATCCTGTTTTGTTGCCTTACAACCTGGAATTAAAATATATTTTAGGGGGGGTTCATATCATTTGATTTACACAACATGCCTACCACTTTGAAGATGCAAAAAAAAAAATTGTGTGTGAAACAAACAAGAAATAAGACAAAAAAACATAAAACTTGAGCGTGCATAACTATTCGCCCCTCCAAAGTCAATACTTTGTAGAGCCACCTTTTGCAGCAATTACAGCTGCAAGTCTCTTGGGGTATGTCTCTATAAGCTTGGCACATCTAGCCACTGGGATTTTTGCCCATTCTTCAAGGAAAAAAGTGCTCCAGCTCCTTCAAGTTGGATGGGTTCCGCTGGTGTACAGCAATCTTTAAGTCATACCACATATTCACAATTGGATTGAGGTCTGGGCCTTGACTAGGCCATTCCAAGACATTTAAATGTTTCCCCTTAAACCACTCGAGTGTTGCTTTAGCAGTATGCTTAGGGTCATTGTCCTGCTGGAAGGTGAACCTCCATCCCAGTCTCAAATCTCTGGAAGACTGAAACAGCTTTCCCTCAAGAATTTCCCTTTATTTAGCGCCATCCATCATTCCTTCAATTCTGACCAGTTTCCCAGTCCCTGCCGATGAAAAAGATCCCCACAGCATGATGCTGCCACCACCATGCTTCACTGTGGTGATGAGAGGTGTTGGGTTTGCACCAGACATAGCGTTTTCCTTGATGGCCAAAAAAGCTCAATTTTAGTCTCATCTGACCAGAGTACCTTCTTCCATATGTTTGGAGAGTCTCCCACATGCCTTTTGGCGAACTTTTCTGGCCACTCTTCCGTAAAGCCCAGCTCTGTGGAGTGTACGGCTTAAAGTGGTCCTATGGACAGATACTCCAACTCCACTGTGGAACTTTGCAGCTCCTTCAGGGTTATCTTTGGCCTCTTTGTTGCCTCTCTGATTAATGCCCTTCTTGCTTGGTCCATGAGTTTTGGTGGGCGGCCCTCTCTTGGCAGGTTTGTTGTGGTGCAATATTCTTTCCATTTTTTAATAATGGATTTAAAATGGTGCTCAGTAGGGATGTTCAAACTTTAGGATATTTTTTTATAACCCAACCCTGATCTGTACTTCTCCACAACTTTGTCCCTGACCTGTTTGGAGAGCTCCCTGGTCTTCATGGTGCCGCTTGCTTGGTGGTGCCCCTTGCTTAGTGGTGTTGCAGACTCTGGGGCCTTTCAGAACAGGTGTTTATATACTGAGATCATGTGACACTTTGCACACAGGTGGACTTGAACTAATTATGTGACTTCTGTGTATGTCCATTATATGAAATCCAAATAAAAATAAATTACAGGTTGTAATGCAACAAAATAGGAAAAACGCCAAGGGGGATGAATATTTTTGCAAGGCACTGTATCCTGGGAGATGTGGTACCACAGAGCCAGCCAAGGAGGGCTATTATCCTGGGAGATGTGGACCTTTTCTCTCCTGGGTCGTGTTCACTAGGAACCAAACAGACAGAAAATGGGAGGGACTACCTAAACTTGTCCAAAAATAAAGTTGTTCTAATTTTTTAATGTTTTCTGTTGCAAAAGTCCCCAGAATCAGGATAGCTGAATTAGGCATAGAGTTGAATTACAGTTGAATGTAGGCTAGTCGTAAAGACCTCCTACCAAATCCTACAGGCTGAAGACAGCCTTATGAAGTAGTAGTATTTATGCACATTCATTAGTTAAAGGCAATCAACTCTCTCTAGGTGCAGCCCCTTCAGATAAGACATGTATGACCTTCAGTGGTGTTTCTACGATCAATTTCCTGCAGCGCCATCTTTTCACCTAACCATATCCTGTGTGTGTGTGTGTGTGTGTGTGTGTGTGTTTACCTCCGGAGACAGCTTCGTATGGTGGAGGCATGTCCAGGTGAGAGAAGGATGCTGCCGTGGGGAGGGAGGCGGAAGGCTCGCCCACTGATCCCTCATCCTGAACCCCATACCAACTGGGCCAGATAGACGTCTGGGGGGGAGACAGAGAGCGAGAACAGGAATTATTACCACATATACACACAGGCGCACTGCGCACTGCACACACACTTTCGAGGTCAACCGGAACGTGACGATGAAAACAAACAGAAACTAAAGCTCACTAGTATGCAAAAGACAGAATCTGCACCCTGCATCTCTCTCCCTCCCTCCCTCTCTAACTGTGTCCCAAATGGCTCCATATTCCCTACTTAGTGGACATTACATTTTACATTTTAGTCATTTAGCAGACGCTCTTATCCAGAGCGACTTACAGTTAAGTGAGTGCATACATTTTTCATACTGGCCCACCGTGGGAAACGAACCCACAACCCTGGCGTTGCACACGCCATGCTCTACCAACTGAGCTACAGGGGGACTACACGGGCCCTGGTCTAAAGCAGTGTCCTATTAAAGGAATAGGGTACTGTTTGAGACACAACCTCTGTCTCTGGTCTCCCGCTGGTCTCTCTCCAGAGCCCTTTCAGTGGGGCTGCTGCCTGCCTGCTGGAGTTAAGGATGGCTCTGGGGCCTCCTCGCTGCACATTCCATTCAAATCTAAACAGGGAGCATCATGGTTTAGAAGACTGAAGGGAGATTAGAGGAAGAAGAGAAGAAGGGGGAGGTGAGCCAGAGAGGGGTTGTACTAAAGCACTGAGGCAGTAAAGGCTCGGAGTGGAGTGCAACAGGTCATGAAAGCTAGCTAACTGGGGTGTGGCAGAGAAGGACCGTGTGGAATCACAGGCTCACAACACTCAGTTGTACCTGGGTTCTGTTCTGTCCACAGCACACAACTACATTCTAATTCCAGCCTAACAGAACTTCGGGGGGTTTTTCCTCCTCTACAATGACTTGAACTTGGGTTTCCTAGTAGAGCCGTTTCATTACAGGTCCAAACACAGTAACAGAATCCAAACCAGAAGTGGCTTGTGTGTGCATGGTCTCCAACATGTTCAAAATCAGATGACATTCTAAAGCAGATGACATTCTAAATCAGATGACATTCTAAATCAGATGCATTCTAAATCAGATGTATTCTAAATCAGATGCATTCTAAATCAGATGCATTCTAAATCAGATGCATTCTAAAATCAGACCCAGTAAGGTCATTACTGGGGACAGCTTCCTAGAAGAGCTAGCTAGAGGCTGGAATCTCCCCTTAACCACTACAGGCCTCATTCTTACAATGAAGGCATTTCCGCTATGAGAAAGCTAGTCCTAACAACGCTATAAATAGCCTAAAAACCCCATCTAGAAAACAAGTGGCACCTATAGTAATTCAGTAAATGGCGGGGCAGGGTCAGTAATAAAGCATCATTGTTATGGTGTGCACGTTGACCTAGTTAGAAGATCATTCACTCTGAAAGTAGCCTAACGACTTTGGGCCCGGACATAAACTGTAACATAGCATTTTACAGTCCTTCAAGCACTATTGCTTAGCATAACACTGCTCTCTCTATCCAGTCAATCAGAAGGATATGACCTAGGCCAGTATAAAAAAAAATATGTAATCACTAACTGTAAGTCGCTCTGGATAAGAGCGTCTGCTAAATGACTAAGAAAAAGTAGTATGGAAGTGTTTTGAGCACTATTAAAAAGAAGGGACAGTAGAGTCAAGTTGGAGAGAGATGTTGAATGTGTTCCCTCAGAATGTTGGGAGCCAGGGTTCTGATTCATGGAGATTGCTTCCAGGTGTTCTAGGAAGAAGCTGTAGAACACAACGGCAGAGCTTACTGGAAGGAGGACTGATGTCAGAGTTTGTATAATGTAATCTGGGTATTGAAGTCTTCTCCCAGACTTGTCTATGAAAAAATCAAAGCGTCAGTTATCACAGTCACAGGCCAGTGGTTCTGGAGATATTAGTCCATATACAACACAAGGTAACACTTGGCGTTTTGGGAGGAGTCCCTGGCCAGTACAACAAAGGGATGCAGAGAGGAAAGTTGCATGAATGTCACTTTGAAAACTCCAGGAAACAAAATGGGGCGGCAGGTAGCTTAGTGGCTAAGAGCGTTGTGCCAGTAACCGAAAAGTCGCTGGTTCTAATCCCCCGAGCCGACTAGGTGAAAAATCTGTCGATGTGCCCTTGAGCAAGGCACTTAACCCTAATTGCTCATGTAAGTCGCTCTGGATAAGAGCGTCTGCTAAATGACTAAAATGTACAGGGGGTGGTCCTCTTCTCAAAGGTTCCATGAAAGATTGGAATGTTTTCTTACCACTAAATTGTTTACATATCTAAACAGATAGCATTGCATCTAAATGGAACACAAGCATTTCGCTAAACCCACAATAACATCTGCTAAATATGTGTATGTGACCAATAAAATATATTTGACAATTTGGTTTGATTCAATAGGCAGATTTCTGAATATTTGAGATCAGGGGACCTATTCTGGCTTGCCACTCCTCTGGAGCTCTTCTCTTTCCCTGTCCATTTTAGCTGTTCCTATTGGCTCAAAGACTTTCACAGGCTTGGTTTAGATTTGACAAGTGCTGGACAGTGACCGGTAGAAACACCACCTCTAACACTGGCTCTCACACATTCACTGTAGCCCCTTACACTGCTTCACAAAGGTTCTGAGACCCACGTACATAAGCAAATCAAATCTAATTGTATTGGTCACATACACATATTTAGCAGATGTTATTGCGGGTGTAGCGAAATGCTAAGCATATACTAGTGCTGAGCGATTAGCCGAAACTTCAGTTTATTTTCGGTTTTTAAATAACTAATTGACCGACAGTTAAATTATTTGAATTCCATTTAGTTTGTGTGTTTTTTTTTCTGATCCCAACGTTTCTCTAGAGGCTAATCAAATCAAGCATGAACTATGGGATGTTGTAAGAAGGTGTAGTTTTCACCATAGTTAAGTGTGGAGAACGTGGTAATTAACTATAATGACAACAATCCATTGTGCCTATAGCTGTCTGGTTCTTGCCCAGGCAAGCCTGTGGGGCCGGCAGACAAGGACAGGAAGGGTTTCTACTAGACAGCACAGCCAAAAAGTCCAAATTGGCTATATGGTAAGAATTCATGAAAAAAAAGAAGCTTTTTGGTCTTAATATAAGGTTAGGCATAAGGTTAGCAGTGTGGTTAAGGTTAGCTTTAAAATCACATTTTAAGAAGATGAATTGTGGAAATTGGCAGGGTGTATGACTTTGTGGCTGTGGTAACTAGTGACGAGGACTGGAAAGGAGGGACAGACTGGATTTTGAATTGACAGTTGTTACTCAGCGGTCTTAAGAGTATTCCTTATTTACTTTCACTATTGAAATAGTGATCTCATCTGAGAGCTAGGCTACTAGCATAACTATGATTCCTCTTTAGAGACCCCAGAGATGTATGGCTGGCTGCTACTTCCTGAGCAGAGATGATGACGATGATGATGATCAACTGCAATATTTCATTAAAGTAAAATGTGAATAAAGGATGGTTTATTAATAAGTGATATGCAGTAATGGGCAGTCACTACCACCACTAGGGTTTTATTAATGAAATAATGAAGTCATCTTCATACTAAAAAAACTAAATGTGTAATATACACAACCCAAATATTGTATTTAAGTAAAGTAATATGAGTAAATGATAGCTAGAGCCTAATAAGTGATAAGCAGTAATGTACAGCAACCATCTCCAACTATTTTATTATGTGTTGTTATAGCATTCAACCCACATCATGCAATTTATTGTAAAAAAATAATAATCGAAACCTACATTTTACACCGTTAATATATATATATTTTTTTTACCGAACTCTCAAAAAGCACTAAATCACTCAGCACTATCATATATACAGACACACAAACACGTACGTGCGGTTTGTACACACACCACGCCTACTAAACAAAGTGTCAGTCTGCTGTTAAACACCACAGGACTGCTTGGAAGTTGAGTAATTGACACACGGTGAGAAAGCATCCCATTCTCAGTCAGTCATTCACAGTGAAAGTGACTCATCTAAAACCACCAAGCAGTCAGGAAAGCAAACAGCTCGCCCCCACACACTGACACACACCTCTGAACAGGCAAACTTTAGCAACCCTCCTGACCTCTTCCTGTTTACTCCCCAATCTATGATATGCTTCCCTGTGAATGACTGGAACCAGAGTCTATATGGGGTATTGTGGTCCACCAGCCACTGTGGCAGGTAGATTAAAACAATCTACCAGCCACTCAGATTTTTTACCAGCCCAAATACTTGCTGCAAAAATTACACCAACACGCTATGTAATGTTTCTAAAACAATACATGTATTACTAGTAAGAAGTAACTAATGTGGAATAGTAAAAAAAAAAAAAAATTGTGACCTGAAGTCTTTTAACCAAAATATCACAGATGAGACAAAAATGTTCACCTGCCCCTTTAAGGGCGGGAAGTTACCGTGGTAGCGTGACTGGAGTCATGTTTGTGCCTGTGAGATTGAGTCTGACTAGTAGAAGCGTGGTCCTCTCTTCTCTAGCAGTTGAAACTCAAACATAGAAAAACAACCTAGCTTGTGAACAAAACAATGTCAATAGCCAAGAAACACAAGGACAAAGTCTCACTTCAGAAGACTTTCGTTTCAAGTAAATTAGACCAACTTTTATGTCTGTGCGCAGCACTTCTAAAAATGAATATTTCACTCAGCTCTTCACGTGCGTACAGCCCCCAGCCAGGCAGTATTGCAGAGCGAGGTGGAATAGGCTATATAGGATTTGTAGTTTACATTTACATTTTAGTCATTTAGCAGACGCTCTTATCCAGAGCGACTTACAGGAGCAATTAGGGTTAAGTGCCTTGCTCAAGGGCACAGACAGATTTTTCACCTAGTCGGCTCGGGGATTAGAACCAGCGACCACGCCACGCTCTTAACCACTAAGCTACCTGACTTTGTGTGATTGATTTACCAGTTATGAAACAAAACGGCAGAAGTACTTTGAAAACAGCTACTGCAGCATTTATTTTACTATAAACGTGATCATACTTGATTATTTTCATTCACAAATGCGAGTGAAATGCTCCCACTGAGGAGCCCTTGCCACCCGCCAACGAGGCTGGTGAAATAGACATCTTACCTGCCAATGCCAAAATGTACCCACATTTGGCAGGTGGCGGTTGTTAAATGTAGGCCCTGGACAGGATGAGCGCCATGCCTCAGACAGGATGAGCGCCATGCCTCAGACAGGATTAGCGCCACGCCTCAGACAGGATTAGCGCCACGCCTCAGACAGGATGAGTGCCACGCCTCAGACAGGATGAGAGCCACGCCTCAGACAGGATGAGAGCCACGCCTCAGACAGGATGAGTGCCATGCCTCAGACAGGATGAGCGCCATGCCTCAGACAGGATGATCGCCACGCCTCAGACAGGATGAGAGCCACGCCTCAGACAGGATGAGAGCCACGCCTCAGACAGGATGAGAGCCACGCCTCAGACAGGATGAGAGCCACGCCTCAGACAGGATGAGAGCCATGCCTCAGACAGGATGCCCTCTCCCTACAAAAACTAAAATTGATTGCCAATTCATATACAATTATGTGTATATCAGCTCAGCCTGTGTTTTGTGGCCTGTCAATAACAGAGGGACTCCTGCAACGCTTTGCTACTTACGTTCTGTCTCTCATACATCTGATGCACGTAGGCCCTCCCTCCCACGATAACTATCTGGGAATTACGAGGGTTGTTGAGGTACGCGGCCAGCTGTCTCTGACGCGAGCGGTACCAGCACACATAGAAGAAGATCTTGATGACGATGAATATGATGACCACTCTGAAAGAGAGAGATGTACAGTATCAAAGAACGTTGAACTCCATGTTGTTCAAAACCACATCGAATCAAGTGTTTGAAAGTGAATGGAAGAGAACTAGAATTAAAAGTTACTTACATGTACCAGTACAACTCCATATTGAGATCAATAGTCACCAGATCATGGTAAAAAAATGATGGTCCCTGCAACACAACACCAAAGTAGTGTTTAGACATTTGAGGCACAGCCCAGCGTGTGTGTTATTCTGAAATAAGATGGCTGAGAGAAATTGTTTAGTGTAAACCCAAATGGAGAACTTGAATGGAAACCATAGCTACCTCACCTCTGTGAAGAATAAAGGAGTCCCCTTCGATCTGCAAGAGACATGTGGCACAATGTGAGCAACAGTTCAACATCCATCAAAGACAGATGACATGGTTTTAAACACCATCAAAGACAGATGACATGGTTTTAAACACCATCAAAGACAGATGACATGGTTTTAAACACCATCAAAGACAGATGACATGGTTTTAAACACCATCAAAGACAGATGACATGGTTTTAAACACCATCAAAGACAGATTACATGGTTTTAAACACCATCAAAGACAGATGACATGGTTTTAAACACCATCAAAGACAGATGACATGGTTTTAAACACCATCAAAGACAGATGACATGGTTTTAAACACCATTAACTCGTGGGAGAGGCAAACTACAGCCGGTTATTTAGATACTTCCCCTAAACAATCAATGTAACTTTAGCTTCTTAAACAATCCAAGTAGCTGGCTAGCCTGTCAACCACTGAAAGCACAACGAGTTAAAGGAGTAGTTCACTATTTTACAACTTGATGTTAGATGGTTCCTCATCCTGAAAGTAGTCTATGGGCCAAGAGAAACTATAATCCAAGGTTCAGTTTTCTATAAACATCCACTACAAACTTCAGCTAACCTTAGCCACCATAAGCTAAACATCTATGGAAGTGATTTGGGCATGTGAGCATGTTTACAAAAAATAATGTTCAAATCACCTCAAATTAATTCCAATCACTTAAAGGTGATTTAGCCATTTTAAAGCAAAACATGCTCACATACTCACAAACCCCCCCCCCCCATCACTTCCATTTATTGTTAGCTTGTGGTGGCTGAAGTTTGTAGTGGCTGTTTAAAGCAAACTGAACCATGGATTTGTTTCTCCTGGCCCATACACTACTTTCAGGGTGAGGGACAATCCAACATCAAATTGTAAAACTAGAAAAGTACATTTCCTGAAAAAAATGTGGTGTGCATGCTAGCTTGTGAAGGACCGATTGATTGATAGGATAGCCTGAAGATGTGAAAGTTGGTTTGGTGTCTCTAGCTTGAATAGTTCAAGAGTTACTGGTGGTGAGTTATTTAATATAAATGTATATAAACTCAGCAAAAAAAGTAAGGTCCCTTTTTCAGGACCCTGTCTTTCAAAGATAATTAGTAGAAATCCAAATAACTTCACAGATCTTCATTGTAAAGGGTTTAAACACTGTTTCCCATGCTTGTTCAATGAACCATAAACAATTCATGAACATGCACCTGTGGAACGGTCATTAAGACACTAACAGCTTACAGATGGTAGGCAATTAAGGTTGAATATATTTAAATAGTGGAGAAGGGTGGTGTTCATTATTAATAATATTTTTGAATTTGTGAGTGTAGTGTTAGATGGTAGGGTTTTTCTTTATTTTATTTTTCAAACAAAATATTAAGGAGTTGTACTCCAGTCTAGTAGGTGGCGGTAATGCAACAAAATGGATGCCAACCGCCGTTAAACCTCATTGAAGAAGAAGAAGCAGCAAGTAAGGTCACAGTTATGAAAACTTAGGACACTAAAGAGGCCTTTCTACTGACTCTGAAAAACACCAAAAGAAAGATGCCCAGGGTCCCTGCTCATCTGCGTGAACGTGCCTTAGGCATGCTGCAAGGAGGCATGAGGACTGCAGATGTGGCCAGGGCAATAAATTGCAATGTCCATACTGTGAGACGCCTAAGACAGTGCTACAGGGAGACAGGACGGACAGCTGATCATCCTCGCAGTGGCAGACCAAGTGTAAGAACACCTGCACAGGATCGGTACATCCGAACATCACACCTGCGGGACAGGTACAGGATGGCAACAACAACTGCCAGAGTTACACCAGGAACGCACAATCCCTCCATCAGCGCTCAGACTTTCTGCAATAGGCTGAGAGAGGCTGGACTGAGGGCTTGTAGGCCTGTTGTAAGGCAGGTCCTCACCAGACATCACCGGCAACAATGTCGCCTATGGGCACAAACCCACCGTCGCTGGACCAGACAGGACTGGCAAAACGTGCTCTTCACTGACAAGTCGCGGTTTTATCTCACCAGGGGTGATGGTTGGATTCGCGTTTATCGTCAAAGGAATGAGCGTTATACAGAAGCCTGTACTCTGGAGCAGGATCGATTTGGAGGTAGAGTGTCCGTCATGGTCTGGGGCGGTGTGTCACAGCATCATCGGACTGAGCTTGTTGTCATTGCAGGCAATTGCAAAGCTGTGCGTTACAGGGAAGACATCCTCCTCCCTCATGTGGTACCCTTCCTGCAGGCTCATCCTGACATGAGCCTCCAGCATGACAATGCCATCAGCCATACTGCTCGTTCTGTGCGTGATTTCCTGCAAGACAGAAATATCAGTGTTCTGCCATGACCAGCGAAGAGCCCGGATCTGAATCGATTTGAGCACGTCTGGGACCTGTTGGATCAGAGGGTGAGGGCTAGGGACATTCCCCCCAGAAATGTCCGGGAACTTGCAGGTGCCTTGGTGGAAGAGTGGGGTAACATCTCACAGCAAGAACGGTCAAATCTGGTGCAGTCCATGAGGAGGAGATGCACTGCAGTACTTAATGCAGCTGGTGGCCACATCAGATACGGCCTGTTACTTTTGATTTTGACCCCCCCCCCCCCTTTGTTCAGGGACACATTATTCCATTTCTGTTAGTCATATGTCTGTGGAACTTGTTCAGTTTATGTCTCAGTTGTTGAGTCTTATGTTCATACAAATATTTACACATGTTAAAGTTTGCTGAAAATAAACGCAGTTGACAGTGAGAGGACATTTCTTTTTTTGCTGAGTTTATTATAGTTGATAGAAGTTTGAAAGAATTACAATTTAGGATAGACTGACATGCCAGACTTCACGTGCGTGCGCCTTCACGTGCATGTTGATTTTGTTCCACCCACACCAGACGAGATCAGGACACAAAGGTTGAAATATCAAAATGAACTCTGAACCAACTATATTAATTTGGGGACAGGTAAAAAAAACATTAAACATTTATAGCAATTTAGCTAGCTAGCTTGCTGTTGCTAGCTAATTTGTCCTGATATATAAACATTGGGTTGTTATTTTACCTGAAATGCACAAGGTCCTCTACTCCGACAATTAATCTACAGATAAAAGGGGAAACCTAGTTAGTTTCTAGTAATCTCTCCTCCTTCATCTTTGGACTTTATATGGCGGTTAGCAACCAACTTTAAGGTGCATTACCACCACCAACTGGACTGGAGTGTGGACCTCAGTTCATCTTTTAATCACCCACGTGGGTATATGCTCCTAAAAGCCAATGAGGAGATGGGAGAGGCGGGACCAAGTTCTATTTTAGCGCCTGGCTATGCAGACGGGCGCGAGCAGTGTGGGTGCAATGATTGAATAACATGTACAGTTGAAGTCGGTAGTTTACATACACCTTAGCCAAATACATTTCAACTCAGTTTTTCACACTTCCTGACATTTAATCCTAGTACAAATTCCCTGTCTTAGGTCAGTTAGGATCACCACTTTATTTTAAGAATGTGAAATGTCAGGATAATAGAAGAGAGAATTATTTATTTCAGCTCTTATTTCTTTCATCACATTCCCAGTGGGTCAGAAGTTTACATACTCAATTAGTATTTGGCAGCATTGCCTTTAAATTGTTTAACTTGGGTCAAATGTTTCGGGTAGCCTTCCACAAGCTTCCCACAATAAGTTGGGTCAATTTTGGCCCATTCCTCCTGACAGAGCTGGTGTAACTGAGTCAGGTTTGTAGGCCTCCTTGCTCGCACACGCTTTTTCAGTTCTGCCCACACATTTTCTATAGGACTGAGGTCAGGGCTTTGTGATGGCCACTCCAATATGTTGACTTTGTTGTCCTTAAGCCATTTTGCCACAACTTTGGAAGTATGCTTGGGGTCATTGTCCATTTGGAAGACCCATTTGCGACCAAGCTTTAACTTCCTGACTGATGTCTTGAGATGTTGCTTCAGTATATCCACATACTTTTCCTTCCTCATGATGCCATCTATTTTGTGAAGTGCACCAGTCCCTCCTGCAGACAAAGCACCCCCACAGCATGATGCTGCCACCCCCTGCTTCACGGTCGGGATGGTGTTCTTCGGCTTGCAAGCCTGCCCCTTTTTCCTCCTAACATAACAATGGTCATTATGGCCAAACAGTTCTATTTTTGTTTCATCAGACCAGAGGACATTTCTCCAAAAAGTACGATTTTTGTCCCCATGTGCAGTTGCAAACCGTAGTCTGGCTTTTTTACGGTGGTTTTGGAGCAGTGGCTTCTTCCTTGCTGAGCGGCATTTCAGGTTATGTCGATATAGGACTTGTTTTACTGTGGATATAGATACTTTTGTACCTGTTTCCTCCAGCATCTTCACAAGGTCCTTTGCTGTTGTTCTGGGATTGATTTGCACTTTTCACACCAAAGTACGTTCATCTCTAGGAGACAGAACGCATCTCCTTCCTGAGCGGTATGAAGGCTGCGTGGTCCCATGCTGTTTATATACTTGCGTACTATTGTTTGTACAGATGAAAGTGGTACCTTCAGGCGTCTGGAAATTGCTCCAAAGGATGAACCAGACTTGTGGAGGTCTACAATTTTCTTCCTGAGGTCTTGGCTGATTTTCCCATGATGTCAAGCAAAGAGGCACTGAGTTTGAAGGTAGGCCTTGAAATACATCCACAGGTACACCTCCAATTGACTCAAATTATGTCAATTAGCCTATCAGAAGTCATGACATCATTTTCTGGGATTTTCCAAGCTGTTTAAAGGCACAGTCAACTTAGTGTATGTAAACTTCTGACCCACTGGAATTGTGATACAGTAAATTATAAGTGAAATAATCTGTCTGTAAACAATTGTTGGAATAATTACTTGTGTCATGCACAAAGTAGATGTCCTAACCGACTTGCCAAAACTATAGGTGGTCTCCCGAGTGGCGCAGTGGTTCGAATGCAGGCTCTGTCGTAGCCGGCCGTGACCGGGAGAACCATGGGGCGGCGCGCAATTGGCCCAGCGTCGTCCAGGGTAGGGGAGGGAATGGCCGGCAGGGATGTAGCTCAGTTGATAGAGCATGGCCCCACAGGGGGTATGAAAAAAAACAAAATATAATAATAATAATAATGTATGCACTAACTAACTGTAAGTCGCTCTGGATAAGAGCGTCTGCTAAATGACTAAAATGTATAGTTTGTAAACTGGGCTCCCGAGTGGCGCAGCGGTCTAAGGCACTGCATCTCAGTGCTTGAGGCGTCGTCCGGGTTAGGCCGGTGTAGGCCGTCATTGTAAATAAGAATGTGTTCTTCACTGACTTGCCTAGTTAAATAAAGGTAAAATAAATAAATAAAAAAAACAAGAAATTAGTGGAGTGGTTGAAAAATGAGTTTTAATGACTCCAAACTAAGTGTATGTAAACGTCCGACTTCAACTGTATGTGTAAATGTATTTTGCACCGCTACGCCAGCAGGGATGTAGCTCAGGTGTGGTTAGCATGTGAAAGTTGGTTTGGTGTCTCTAGCTTGAATGTTCAAGAGTTACTGTGGGTTGGTTAGTTTATGCTAATTTGTATAATTATAGTTGATAAAGATCTTGAAGAATTTGAAGTTAGGATAGCCTGAACGTTTTAAAGTTGGTCTTATAGCTTAATTGGCCAAGGAGTAGGACCATTTTAATTAGCTACCACTGTAATACAGTCTAATTCAAACCCATGTTAATTTATGCACATTTTAAATGGTTATATTTATAAATATAAATATATAAATATCATTAAGAAAATCTGAATGCAAGCTATCTAAATTGGGTCAGTCTGAACATCTCAACGTTAGTTTGGCGTTGATAACTTAAACCGTGTAAGAGCAGTGGCAAATCCAAATACTTCCCATTCAAGACTACAGAGCTTTTATTAACATTTAAAATAGTTATAGTTCAAAAAGTATAAACACAAGCAATCTATGTTGGGTCAGTCTGAACATCTCAACGTTGGTTGGCGTTGATTGCGTAAGAGGCGATACACGCCCAAATTTCCCAATTTTGCCCATACAAATCTATGGCACTTCATTGCCACTGAAATGTATACAAAAGCATTAATATCCAAAACATTTTCTCAAGCTATCTAAATTGGGGCAGTCTGGACATTTGGAAGTTGGTTTCGTGTTTATAGCTTAAGTCGTTTAAGCGTTAGAGCGAGCAGAAGAAATCAAACAATATGAGTATGAAATCTAGAGTTGTGCATTGTGTTGCATGCATAACTGATAATGAACTAGCTACTCCATTAATGTTAACCGTTAACTATACAAAAAAAGTATGCCAGCTAGAAAACTAGCTAGCTATAAATATCAAAAACAGTCTAAACGTTAGCTAGTTACAGTATGTGTTACATTTCCAATCTAAATAGGAACTAGCTAGCAAGCATTTCTTACAAGAAAGGGTAACTAGCTACAGTAGCTAGCTAGATACTAATTCGTTAGCCAACTGGCCAGTGCCTGTTGTTTGTATCGTGTTAGTTGGCTACTTAGCTACTAAACTTAGGTAACCAGCTAGTTAGTTAATACAATGGTGAAACGTTTCTGGTTTAAGTATTTGTGGCTAAGCATAACTAACAATTTACCGTATCAGCCAAGTAATTTAGCTAGTTTACGTTAAATCATCTAGAACCGCTACCCAGGCTTATCATGTTGTTTTCCTTTAGCTGTGTGGCTTGCAGGACATTAGCCAGCTAGCTAGTTTAGCTAAACATCAACGATTTAATCAAACACTGTCTGATGTTATCCTCATGCCGAGGTAATCCAACTACCTGTCAATTTCCGAAGTTTGTAATCCTTCCAAAAAATAGTTTGAAGTCCTTTATTTAGCACCCATTTGTTTGACCATCCTACCTTGACTGCTGCTCACGTTGAGCGCTGAGCTGGTTAGCGATGAGGGAGGGGCGAGGCTCTAGCTGCGGACTGCAGTCACCACAAGGAACGCCCCACACGAACGACATTAGCATTGCGTCACAACATACCACGCCCACTACCATTGACGCCGCTTGTAACAGTGTGGACAATACAGTACCGGTAATGAAAGATGCCTTCTCTTTGAGTGGCTGTATTTGATCTTAAATCCCGATAAACCAGGAAGATTATGATCAATACTCGTGGATTATATGACTTTTTTGGGGGGTAAACTGACCCTTTCTTATATGAAGTAACAGGTGATTGGAAAACACCTTCTGGCATGGCTGAACAGATGCTAATCACCTCAGATGCTAGCAGGGATACAGAAGCATGCAGCCCATGTGAAGACTTTCCAGAACTAATGGCAAAATACTCCTTATTTACACCACTGCCACCTACGCCGAGTAAGAACCCTCCTACCAAATACAGTGTAGTCGAAAAATGTTCTACCAAACCTGACATTCAAGGCCATCTTTGAAAAACTGTCCATCTTTGAAAAGACCAGAGACTAGAGGTTGACGCGGGAGTGAAAATGGATTCCTGTCCTCTCAGGAAAAGTGGGGGTGTCGAAATGAACCATATAAGGAGAACTGGGGATTTCGAAAGGAGTCTTTTAACACTAGAATTCCATAACTACTAGAATTATATGGTTCCTTTCAAAACCCCAACTTCTTATATGGTTCCTTTCAAAACCCCCACTCCGTTTGACACCCCCACTTTTCCTGAGAGATGCTGTTACGAACCCCGTGGCTTTAAACATCTAGGGTGGATGGACAAGAGACCCGTAACATAATTCATGCAAATTACAATCGTGACATGGAACAGTGAGAACAAAAACTACACGACAACCATAAACTACCATCAAACATAACATGTTTATTTTTGAACACACGGTAAAGGTTTGGGGAAAAAGGGCTGAGCAGGACCCAAGAAATGAAACAATAGTGTAAAAAAAACCTAAACTGATCTTGCCTGCCTCAAGAACCACTAAGCTACTGCTAATCATACAAAAATACAGTGGGTGGTCCGCTCAGGTCTAACTAGTGTTTTTAGACAGTTTTCTTCCTACGGGTAATGTATGCCCAAGGGCAACTTGCTTAAATTCCCCTTTTCCCAGAAACACACAACAAAGTTACCAAACAGAGTAACCAGCAAATGAGTGAGTACACAAAACACCACAGTATCCATACTCACATACAGAAAATAGTCTCTAACAAAGTTACCAAACAGAGTAACAAGCAAATGCGTGAGTACACAAAACGCAGGACACCACAGTATCCATACTCCCATACATAAAATAGTCTCTAACAACAAACACAACTGACCGGCTTTTAAACAATGGGATGTGTGATTGAAAAACCAGAAAAAGGTGGTGCAATGCAGAGGAATGTCCACTGATTGGTCCACCTCAGCAATCAGCAGACACCCCAACGACCACCAATCAGGAACATACAGGACACCTGTGATTAGGGCAGAAGGAGAGGAAAAACACAAAAAGACACAGGATACCTGTATCCGTAACAGATGCACTGCACTGAGAGATGACTGATCTGAGAGATGACGTTGCAGCTGGACCCCTCTTCACCTGTCCAGAACTTGACTCAAGAACTTAACTCCCATTCCTGCCAGAATCCCGCGGGACCCACAAGGCCCGCAGGAGTCCTGTTCCTGTATCAACCTCTAACAGACACTACCTCCAAGTCAATGGAATCTCTCTCAGCCACTGTGCAGCAGCTCCTCAGCCAGGTGTCAACTCAAAGCAAAAAAAATACTGACAATGGAAGCTGAAGTACAGAAACTGCAGCAGGTGAATCTCCAGCTGCGACAGAACGTCATCGAAGTCCAGCGCCACAGCCGGAGTTGGAAACTGAATGGGGTGAGAGAAGAGGACGTGGTGAACATATGGAGCGTTACCATTGGTGAACATATGGAGCGTTACCATTGACATCCTAGCACAGTAGCACCCAGGATTCAAGACAAGCTCCTGGACGTCGTCGACGTGGTGCACCACCTGGGAAAGCGAAGGGATGACGGATCTCCGCGACAACCATCATGCGGTTTCACAATGAGAATCTACAGAGATGTCGTATGGAAAGAAACGGAAAGGGGAAAGGGGGATACCTAGTCAGAAGCGAAGGAGTCCAGGTTTCTTGTGGAGAATAAATTACGCATCAAAGAGGTTCTCACTGAAGAGGTTTTAATACAAACTGACAGTGATCGATACATGCCGTTTCTTTAATACAAACTTAAACGAATACACCTGGTGTAATGGGTCAATGATGGTCGGATCCAGAATTGATCTGTTTCTAATTTCTCCCCCACTTTTACAGCAGTAAGTTATAAACATGCTACTTTGACTGATCATAAAATTATATTACTGAAGTTAGAATGTTCTGAAAAATCCAGTGGCATTCGAGGATACTGGAAACTTAATAATTCACTCCTAAATGATCCAGTCTTTACCAAGAGCATGAAGAGCTTAATCAGGGACTTGTTTAATTCAAATGATTTAGAACCAAAGCATGGAAGTAACTGGGAAATATTTCAATTCAAAGTAAGATCTATCTCCATTACACGCAGTAAGGAACTAAAGAAGCAAAAATGTTTGAAAGAAGATGAGCTTAAGAAATGAATGTTATTTTAGAAAAGGATACTCTTTCAGCAGAGGAAGAAACAGATTTGAATACATCTCGAATAGAACTAGATCAAATGTACATTGATTTAGCTAAAGGGGCCTTTATTAGATCTAACATGGGTTGAGGAGGGTGAGAAAAACAAGCAATTTTTTTTTGCTGTTGAAAAAAGGAACTATAAGAAAACATACCTTGTGTAAAGACCCTAAGATCATGTCTAACTTTGTTCTATGAAATGGGATTAAATGTGAACCATGTCCATGGTCATGTTCCAATTATTGTTCCAAGTCCATATGTGAAACAAGTCTGGTTTCATGAAAGGTCGCCACATCAGCTGTAACATTAGATTTGTTTTAGACTTGATTGATTACGCTGATTCAATTGACTCCGAGGCTATTGCTTTATTTATTCCTCGACTTTTGTAAAGCATTTGATACAATAGAACACAAGTCCCTAATACATTCGTTGTACACTTTTGGTTTCGGTACTAGCTTTGTCTTTGTTATCAATATGTTTTTTAAAGATATTACTAGTTATATTATGATTAATCGTAACACATCTAAAATACTTAATATTCACCGTTGTCTACGGCAGGGTTGCGCTATTTCAGCTTTCTTATTCATTTCAGTTGTAGAATTACTATCTATTAGCATTTTAAACAACCCCGAATTAAAAGGTATTTAAATATTTGGGAAAATAAATAAAAATATCTCAGTTAGCAGATGATACAACTCTGTTTCTAAAAGAAAGGATCAAGTTTCTATTATACTTAACATTATCAAATCATTCTCTTCAGCTTCTGGTCTGGAACTTAACTTAAATAAATGCTAAATATTGTTCCTACGTAAATCAAATTACCAATCTATTGAGAATATTCCAGTGAAAGATAATGTGAAATATTTAGGGGTGCACATGGCGAAAAACCATATTGTCGTCAAATTTCTCTCAGTGATTAAAGAAAACTAAATCCATTTTTAATAACTGGCTCCAGCATGACCTCTCTATTATAGAAAGGGGTTTATTGTCCAAATCAGAGGGTCTGTCACGTGTTGTCTACCCTGCTCTATCCCTATTTGTAGCTGATCAAACCAGCAAGGATATCAACACAACTTTCCTAGACTTTATATGGAAAAATAAAGAACACAAACTTAAGAAGTCTGATGATGGGCTTGAAGTACTAGATTTCATTGATATCAACAATACCTTTAAAGTAAACTGGATAAAAAATATGTACGCTATCTATATAGTACTTTATTCCTTGTCATATTTGTAAGAAATTGAGTCGTCTTACATTTTTGTGGAAGTGCAACTATTCTGCAGTAAAATTACCCATCAAACTGTCCAAATTTCACGAACAAGGCTTTTTAGCCTGGAAACCATGTTATGTCCACAACTTCTCCCCACACAAAACACTTCTGTGGAACAACAAAGATAATGTTGTTAAAAACAAGTCTTTGTTTTTCGCTAAGTGGTTTGAAAGAACTACTATATTTGTGCTTGATTTATTTGATAAAGAGAATATACTCTCTTATAGAAAGTTCTTAGAAACATATAGCTACCCAATACATTATAAATAATTGAATTCTATAAGCAAAGCAATACCTTCAGGACTTACTCAATTAATTAAATCTCATTTGTGTTTTGGAGAACATACAGTAGATGCACAATTTATGTTAGAAGGTTGCCCCCTGCTGGATACGAACTGTAATAATACATTCTAAAGGGCATGTTTTCACACGAGCAAGATCTTTCCTACAGGGAAATTCTTCTGGAACGCACATATTAATAAAATTGAATGGAAGAAAGCTTGGTTGCTCCCTCATAAATTGTGTATATCAAATCAAGTAAATTCACTTTAAAATCTTGCACAAAATATACCCTTGCAATAACTTATGCCTTTTTTTTGCGATAAGGAAGGGGAAACTATTATACACATTCTTTCTGAGTGTGACTCTGAGAAGTGATTTTGGAGCGAGTTAAGTAATTACAATTGTTATTATATTAGTTATCTAGAGGTTGTAGAGCAGTAGGTGTATCTAGCTGTGTTGTATTAGTTATCTAGGGGTTGAGGGGAGCTGAAGGGTTGGACGAAAGAAAATACAAAAAAAAGAGAACTAATGTAAAATATACTGTGTCTGTAAAATGTATATAGTTTCAGAACTTTTGTGAAACATCAAAGCATAGTTGAAAAATATATGGCAAACAGAAATCAAAACTGGATGATATTCAGAGTTACAGTGCATTCGGAAAGTATTCAGACCTCTTCCCTTTTTCCACATTTTGTTATGTTACAGCTTATTCTAAAATGGATTAAATTAAATTTTCCCTCATCAATCTACACACAAAGTGAAAACAGTTTTTTTTTATTTTTTTTATGTTAGCAAATGTATAAAATATTAAAATCAGAAATACCT